GGTAAAAAAGGAATACATTTTGGGTATTGCAATGGTCAAAATCCCACATGCTTGCATCAGATCCCCATCCTAATGACTTGTGATTTCAGGTACTATTAGCATTCCTAAAGCCAAGGTAGCAGCAGGCTTGGGAAATAATCACTTGGCTGCATGTGGAGATTCGCTTGTAACTTTCCCATATGCTGCTGCACCAACATATCAACAGGTAAAATGGCTTCTACTTACCAGATTGAACAGTAACTGGTATTGAACAGGAACAGATTTAATAAATATTACTCCAGATTTCAGATGAACTGGGGGAACTTATGGGCCATGTATTCTCCCTAACCAATCCAGTGCAAACTGTCGTTTCCTTCAGCACCGTATCCTGCAAAGATTTAGTGGTAGGTAAAAACCCTGTGGTTGCCCTTGGTCTTGCAAATTACTTGACTTGTATGTTAACAAGTAATTCTTTTTTCCAGCCATTCCACCTGGAAAATGGAAAAGACTGCTTGGCAGTGATTGATCATGGAACCACATCAGAAGTGATCTGTGGAACTGCACAGACTGGATACAGGCTACTGAACTACCTGGGTACTAAACGTGCAGTAAAGGTGAGGAATGGTAACTTTGCAGTGTTGACCAAATGTTTACCAAATGCAAATGCTAATGATCTGGTAAATTTCAGGGAGCAGCATTTACCTTGGGTAATGAATACCTGGTTGTGCTGGAGGACGATTCATTCAGCTCTTCCTCAAACCTAAAGACCTTCAAATATGATCTGCATTCCAACACTATGGTCTTGGTAAGTATAGCTTCTACTATACCCTAGACTGACTATTTCCTCACCAGACTAGATGAGCAACTAATTCTCCTTCCTAAACCCTTAGGAGTTAAACCATGATCTGCAAAAGGCTTCTCACCTAGATGCCCTGGCTGGAAAGCATGAAGCTTATGTAGCTGTAACTAACAGCATCTCCCCTGTTGCTGCAGGGTGTGTGGATATATTCACTGTTACTGATAAATCTGGATCTGTGGAGATGAAGAAAATGCAGGCAAGTATTTCTTAACAATGGTCTTGTATGAGCACACTCCTTAATGTTCTTTGCTTTAACATGCCGACTCTTGCAGACTATAAAGGTGCCTGGTGCTCTTGCAAGCAACTTTGGAGAATTGGCCAAGTATGATGTGGGTCTCTTCGTCCAGACAGAGCACGGTGTTCATGTGTATGTTTTGAAGGGAATGCAGTTCGTGCATGAAAGGATGGTAAGAACCAATATTATCAGTTCCCCTATTTATGATAAATATTGTGCAGACAATTGCCTTGATATTAATTCTCAATCTTCCAACCACCCCAGGTTAAAACTGTACCTGCACGGAAACCCTTCTCGTTCCCATTCTTCCATACTGGCCAGAATACGACCTTCCTTCTGTATGCCGGAAATGATCTTGATGGACATCTAGAAAGGAATGCAAGAGTGTATGAAGCAGTCTACAGGCCTTTTTAAATTTTTAAAAATATATTTAATTAGTACTTCTTTGGAGTTTAATTATACCAAATATAATTTTATGGTAGTTAATAACCTTGCCAAAAGGTTCAGTATTGGCTTGAACTATGCATTAGCAATTTATAGAAGTGGCACCCTTTGATTTAAGTTGGCTATCTAGGCTAGATAGAACTTAATTACACCTAGTAAAATAATGCCTTCGTCTCAATGGTAGTTATTCTTCTAAAGAGCACTGGCTCCCAACACCAGTTTCAAGATTTGTAAGTTAGGGGGTAAGTCTTCACCACTAGATTCTAAAAATTCCCAACCCTTTTTGGTACTTTAGGGGGGGCTTATTAGGTTTGTCCCCTAATGTAGGGTTCACACCTACCTTGAATCTCTGCCTCTGGCTTGACTTTTCTGCTACCTAACTCTCCGGTTTCTTATTGAAGGGTTGTATTTGAAAGGCTGAATGCTAGTCATGAATGAATGAGCCATGGGCACTATATTTCCTAATAGCCTAAGTACCCCCTTCCATCATGGATCCTGAAGACTTCATCCCTCCCAATTGTTTCCATAACCTTTTGTTATGGGTGCAAGCCTGAATGCCCCTCACCATGGCCAACAAACACTCGGGCTCAACCCCCATTCTCCTTTTGATCATGGCTCTGCTACATCCTCAAATCCTTAACGTCCACTTGATCCATCCTGAGTAGTTGCATCAATAACCCCTACCCCCCCAATCCTTGACCACTTTTTTTTCCAACTTTCACTTCCTGAATTACTTTAAATGGCACTCGAATACCCTTGCTACCGCAATCACTGGACTACATTATCTTCGCACTTCTAACTCCTAAAAATAGTACTTGCCCCCACAGCTACAAATAAGTACTTATTTACTTAACATTTAAGTTCGACCCTGCTTCAGCAAGCATCCCAATGCTCATGTTAATCAGTAAATGTGTCGCAACCCCATGTATATAAACCTAAATGATCTCAATGGTAAACCTTGTCCTGTGGAACCACCGTCCATTAATATTTGTAGGGTATTTCTCCATATCCACATCTGTGTAGGACCAGATTAGCCAAGAGAAATGACATGATTATCACTTATCATTTTTCACTATCAAAACAAATTTGAAGTGTTTGCCCATTTCCTCTCCCAGGATCGGTCACATTGAAGGCTGACAAAGCTAGCCACTTTTAAACACTGATCTTGCCAGAAGGGATAAAGTGCAATGGACCTGAGCAGAAGTAAAAGGTAGGGGTCCTCCACATTGACATGTCTCCCAAGTCTCCCTAACAAATGACATGATTTAGTAACTACTGCTTGACTACCAAGCTGCCACTCGTAAAACCCCAGGATTGTTTGGGCAGGAGCAACTTTCAGTGGGCAATGTGTTTGCCCTGTTTCACGAGCACGGAATGCTAGATGCTTTTGGGGCTCGTGGGAGAAATGAAGTACACTGCATATACTGTCCTTAAGACATGGCAGATGTAACTAAAATAAAATTGTTCAATTTTAAAATTTTGATAAAGAAAGTGGTCAATTTTAGATATTTGCCTCCAATCTCTCGCCATCTGTTTTGCAATACTTAGAATATGATCAAATACATTAGTTTTTTTATAGCATTAAAGTTTTTTTTTTTATATAAAACTTAAATCTGGAATGATACAGAGAAAAGGGTAACCAGTTTGGTAATAGGCTCAAAGGACCGTGTGCTGAATTATGCAAGCAACCACACCAATGGAGAAAAGATGGCTCGGGTGATGTGCAGGCAAAATATCAGATTTACGATTAATAATTTATACATTTACTTGTTTCCTGGTCCATTTTCTATGACTGGTTTCAGTTTAGTCAGCCATGACCAGTAATAAATATGTAATCCCCTTATCAGGGGCAATGAGGCTTGCCCATTTATCAAATAGCCCCACCCCAGGCTCTCATTTTTCCACGACTCTGAACATTGAGACTCAATCTCCAGAAGACATTCCTACCCTCCCAACTTCCTCAAATTCATCCACTCTACCCCCACAACCTTCATCAAGCACCCCATCCTCCCCTGATTACTACCTTACAGCCTTATTCTCCATCACTGTAATACGTCTCCGACCATCCACCGCCACCAACCCTACAGATATCTTAAATGCTGTTTAGCCCAGCTAAATGGGACCGATTTTTCGTGATCCCTTCTACAGCTCCTTGATCAGGCAACTCTTCTTTCAACAATGTCTCCAAAAACAAGTGGACAGTCCCTTTCTATACCAGACGCGATTGCTCCTATCTTGTAAAAGTCAGATCAGAAACAATCTATAGCACTATCAAATCTAACTGATCATTCTGGCAACCCCATTCCTGCAGAACCTCATCCATACCAAAATACTTGTACTGGAACTGTTTTTCTCTCCCCAGCAAACTGCCCAGTCGATACCAAAGATTGATCAGACTGTGGAGAAGAGTTATTAGGATGCCTCAAAGACAAAGATGTGAAATCAGTACATTGCTACACCATTCCTCCTAGAGGTCAACGAAAGAATCTGACCAACATTGCCAAAATAACTTTCCATACACATGACCTTCCCTTGTGTAATATACACTGGTGGACAATCCCTCCCTGTTCGACCATACCAACCTCTCCGTCAATGTCAAAACTGTTGGCGCTTTGGACATCCTGCCAAACACTGCCGTTCCACAGACCGATCCCCCATATGTGCCCAACCTGGTCATAACTAATTAAACTGCTCTGCACAAACACGTACATGTGCTAACTGCAGCGGCCCCCACGTATTCTATAGAGGCTGTCCCACTTACAAGTTTGAATCTGAGGTAGCAACTCTGATACAAAAATGGTCTCACTTTGTGATGCCAGACAGGAAGCACATCAACAAGGTTTCACTCATACTCCATACTCTAGTAACATCGCTCGCTCTGCCCCTCCCCCTCCACCCCAAGATGTCCCCACTTCCACTTCTACATTCTACCTCCCTCAGACCAATTCTTTTGCCACTCTAAATCCAGACACCCCAATCTCAACCACAGCTCCAATCTCAACTACAGCCCCAGCACCATCTCCTCTCCCTCCCCGCACTACCCGCAGTGGACAGACTAAACGTTCTAACCCTCCCTCCCACATAGGAAAACCTTTGTCCCATAAAACTCTCCAACCAACTCCACTGCAGAAACTATGGAAGACATTCAAAAGCAATATGCTTGATACACAATATCCCATAACTCATGCTCCACACTTGTAGTGATTGCCGATATTCATACCCCTCCTATTCATATTTCCCCTACACCCCTTCCTCCTACTCCCTCTCAACACAACCTAACTCCCTCAATTCTGTCCAACACCGATATCCATCCCCCTCTTACTCATAGCACCCCTACAATTAGAGTTGTCCGTAAGCATCGAAGAGGGGGTATTAAAATCAGTGGTCGGAGCTTCATCAAATAGATAATCTATTTGATGAAAGGTCAAGCCCTAATGCCCCTATTAAAAGGGTAATGGTTAATGGTTAAAAGCAAAATAAATGTGCTAGACATCTAAGGTCATATAGCACTATAGGAAGGTATAGTAAAGAGTGATGTCAGGTGATAGTTGCTATGCGTCAGCTATCTAGAATAATGTTGAAAGGTTGAAGATGGGTAAGGGGTTGAAGATGTGTAAAGGGTTGATGAGTGAAAGGGTTATGGTAGTTTAGGTAAGGGAATTAGATCAAGTGAAGGATATTCATGCGTCTGAGGAAGGAGAACAGGTTGTCAAGGCAGAAGCTGTTGGATTCTGTAAGGATGTCTGATATGTTGGGAGGTCAGTGAAGGGAGGATAGGTGTGGAAAAGCAGAGGTATGTGCTGTATTAAAGCGTGGACAGGACAACAGAATGTGTGGAACTGAAAGGACATTACATAGAGGACATAGGGGCGGGTCAGAGTGTGACATTAGATAGGCGTGTGTTAGGCGGGTGTGGCCAAAACGTAACCGTGCGAGGGCCGTCTCCCAACGTCTGTTCCTGTGAAATGGAGCTGACCAAGAGGAGATTGATGGTTTAACAGTATGTAATTTATTTTTGTGGAGGTTTGACCAAAAAGATTGCCATCGGGTATACAACAAGGTTTTAAAGTGGTGGTAATAATCCGTAGCTGGAAAATGTGAGAAGCGTGGTTGAGGTTATGTGGACACTGTGGCATACCGTGCAAGAGTATCTGCCTGTTCATTGCCAGGGATTCCGACACGGCTGGGCACCCAGCAAAATCTGACAGATTTATGACGTATGGATAGATAGAACAACCAGTTCTGGGTTTTACAGACAAGGGGATTGGTCGAGTGCATAGACTTTATGAGAGATTATGAGTGAAAGAGGAAGAGGGGAGTGAGTATATGCGTTTTAAAGCAAAAAGGACTGCATACAGTTCTGTAGTAAGGACACTAGATTCAGGAGGGAGGGTGTCAAGGAAATGAGTGAGAAGGATAGAGGGGGGAATATCTGATTTTGGCAAATACAGGGGTTAGGTATAAGCCATGGAGGAATGGAATGGATAGAAAGTGGGAGAGGTCGGAGGTGAGGAAAGGGGGAATGGGAGAGGAGTTTGATAAGGGAAAGTTGGTGAAATCGAGCATAGCATCGGAGAGGGAAGGGCTCGACGTCGAGAGAGGGATGGCATGCCAGACTCAGTATGAAGGCTCTCAACTGGAGAGGAGCGGAAGGCGCCTAGGGCTAAGCGGAGATCGCTGTGATGGATTGTATCTAGGTGAGCAAGAAGGGAGGTTGAGGCAGAGTAGTAGATATGGCATCCATAATCTAGAGAGGAGAGGATCAAGGTAACATGAAGATGGAAGAGAGTTTTGTAATCTGAGCCCCAGGAGATGTGGGAAAGAGTTTGTAAGATTCGGAGGCGGCATTGAGCTTTTTCTTTAATATATAAGATATTGTCTCGCCAGGACAATATGGAGTCAAATATAATGCCTAGGAATTTGCCAGAAGAACGGTTTTGGAGTGGAGCATTATATAAGAAGAGTGGAGGTTTGGGACCTATATGTGAGCGAGAGAAAAG